ACTTTTATAATAAAAATAATAAAATGTTGATAATAAAATTTTACGTCAAAAAACTTCAATATATCTGGAGAAATATTCTCTTTCAAATAATGTAATACCATTTCCAGATATTTTTACCTTAATTATTTGATAATGCAGTTTTGAAATATCTTTCTTTTAAAATATCAGAATGAGCTTTGAAAGTTTTAATATTCTTGTCTTCCCAACTTTAATTTCTACGTCATATAGGTCAGTCTCGTTCAATAACTCTGCTAAATCATTTATAACTCTGCCGATATATTTTAATGGTAATTGTCTTCGTTGATTAGTAATTTGACAATTTCTAATGATGTAAAGCCATTGGAGATTTTCTGTTTAGAATTGCCGCTGACTAATTCGTCAGTTCTTGAAAACTGGAAAATCTATAGAGTTAATTTAAATCTGTGTAGAGAAAATTATTTTTTGATTAATCTCAATTTTAAGATTAAAGGCTTCATTTTTGAATTCAATAAGTTTCCTTTAACTAGCACATGTCCGTGCCTAACGAAAAATTTAGGGCACAGATACAGAGACGGGCATGAGTACTAGTCCTAATAAAAAAAGTTGGGCACTTGGGTGGGTGCCGAAACTAGTGCTCGCACAGTGCCAATAGTGCCCGGCATAGAACCTATTGCACGTTTATTGACAGTATTTAACTAGCAAAGAAATATTACTTTATTTCGGTTCAGAAACACAATTTATTAAAGTATTACTTTTTGTTTCTGGAATCGAAGTAAACACAGAGGTGATGAAAGTTAAGTCTTATTTGGAAGTTTTTATTACATAACATGTCAATATTAATAAAAAATATTATTTTACATTCAATAAAAAATATTGAAAATGTTTAATATTTAGTAAAGAAAAAAGTAGTAGAGAAAGAGTTCTATTTAAACTATTTATCTCCCATTCTGCGAAAATATAAATTTATTTACTAAAAATGTCATAAACTCTTGTTACAGTCAAACTTTGTCACAGCGGATGAACGGGGCACATAAGGAAATTTTATTTAAAATCGGTTGTGGCAAGATTACTAATTATAATTATAATCTTGCCACAACCGATTTTTTATATTTTTATATGTGAAGCAAAAAATCCGTTATGACAAGATAGTCCGTTATGGCGAGGCTCGCTGTGACAAGGTTTGACTGTACATATGTAAACTCGATAAGTCGGCCAAAATTTTCACTCCATTTTCTTAATATTAATTCGATAAGTCGGTTTACTCGATAAGTCGGTCATATGAGCTCACCCCCACATGACCGACTTATAGAGTTTACATATGTATTATAAAAATATACAGCAGGCATGACTGGCACGTGCCTAAAATGTACAGGCGCAGTCACCGAAGCATTTGTGCCTAATAAAAAAAATGATGGGCACTAGTTCCTGGCGTGTGCCAACAGTGCCCGGTGACTGGCACGTGCCTAAAATGTACAGGCGCAGTCACCGAAGCATTTGTGCCTAATAAAAAAAATGATGGGCACTAGTTCCTGGCGTGTGCCAACAGTGCCCGGAATGATGCCAATGGTGTCTGGATGGGCATTAGTTTCTTTCTATTCTTTTGCACATCAACAAACCTGGTTTTCATTTATCATCACTATTAGGATATTGAAAGAAGCACTTCGTATACTTTTTTATTAAAATATTTTGAAATGGTGTAATTATATTATGGAAATCAGTCGAATTAATTATATTGAATAATACCTCACCTCATTAAAAATCATTATCATTCGATTCTGAACCAATTCCCCATTTAATAACATGGTTCCAAATATCAGATTGCCATCAATATTTTAATTAAATTTGGTTGAATTCATTAAAGCATAATTCGTCACAAGCTACAAATAGTTTTAAATTTTCATCTGATACCAAATTATCTATATTAATATCTCCATTATAAATATATTTTTTAATAATATTATTATTATGTGATAAAGATTTTTCTCAAATAAAATTCCATCATATATGTTATTCATTGACTCTGTTTAATCATTTTATAGCCTTGCTGATATATTTTAATGGTAAATTGCCTTTATTAGAACTGACTGATGAGGTCGTTAATTAACAATTTAATATTTTTTATTGATGTAAACAATATAATTTTGTTTTTGTAAGGGTAACATTTTTTTGTAAATTTATTTTAATTGGCAAAAAAATGAAAAATTCCGACAATTAGTCATCAAATGTCGCACATGATCACAAACTAATCAAAATTATGTTTACACAGACTATTTCTCTGACAAAATTTTGTTGGTGACAAAATAAATTTCTTTGATGTTTATGGCTTATTCCTATTACTATGCAAATGCAAAGAGCTCTCCAATAATGATGAAAGTGGAATAGTGATGGGCTGGGTAGATGTGTAACTGTTATAAAAATGTTATACAACAATTGTATGATATTCAAGTAATAGTTGCTATATTGTTATAACAAAAACTATCTTGAAACAGAAACAATTATATTAAGATATTTAAGATGGTTAATTGACGACCCTATTAATATGAATCAGATCATTTTAATTTTATTACAAAAATCCGGAAGAAAAAATCCACAGATGCCCCAAACTGAAGTTTTTTATTTTCTTATAAAAGATACAATTATTATTATTATTTATTATGTAATTGTTTTTGCAATAAGAAATTTTTATAATAATAATAAAATGGAAATTTCTGGATTTTTTTGTCTTGATAATCAATCTTATCTGGTAAAATGGAAAATGAAAAAGATAGAGTCAGTCAACGACTTTAATAAAGAAAAACGAAATTAATAGGTTTCACCGCCTTAAAAAAACTTGTAATAAATAATTTTGGGAAAATGAATAAATGTATAAATGCTACCCTTTTTGGTAATTTGGATAGTCTAATTGCCATCCATGCATGCATGCTTGTATTCATGCAATAAATAAATAACAAATAGAAGCATAGCCCATTATATAAGGTCTTCTTCTTTTTCTACTGTCACTATTGTAAGAAAGAGGACCGAGAAAACTCTCTACATATTAACATGAATCTCGAAAAGTTGATTGGTGGATTTTTTTGATCTACAAAACTAATGTTTTCCCGTCCTAAGTACTGTAATAATCAACGATTTAGATTCATTGTGTAATTCTAAAAATACTCAGTCTAAAGACTTCCTAAATTTTAAAAGCATGGAAGTCATTTTCCGTCCCACCTTTAAAAAAATAGCTCTATTAGTTGATAGAATAGGTCTTTAGTTTTAATGTAATAGAGAGATTTTCTCAAAAAAATTATTTGTTGTAGAGTTTTACTCTTTTTTAAAACATGTACTTAACTATCTACTATTCATGAGGGAATTTGCGCACCATGATCATTGCTAAATTTAGACTAGTCTTCGAGCATCATTACTAAATTTAGACTAATACTTGATATCATATCTAAATTTGGCATTAAGGAAAATTTAACAGATTTATTAAGACTTTATGATTTCTAATTCAAAACATCACAAGTGAAAGAATTGTATATAGTGGTGGCCTTTTTCTACTGAAAAGTCTTCTTCATATATGAAAATTAAATTGGACAATCAAAAAAATGGCTAATTGCTATGAAATGATTTAGAATTCAAGAAACTATTACTATTAAAAATTTCAAATTAAAACGCACTAGAAGGAATATAGAACGAAAATTTTTCACAAAGCAATCTAATAATATTTCTTTTCACAAAAATAATATTAGAGAACTAATTAAATTCATCATCAGCAAGCAACAACTTTAGTCATATTAGTTAAACTTTTGGTTCAACAAATAAATGCAAAAAAAAAATTTAGTCAGTATATAAAACCGACAGAAAATCATCTAAAATACGCGCGTCGTGTCAACGTTTTTTAAATGCGAAAAGTAATTTTGTTAGACAACGACAGCCTATTTATATCTAGAACAGACAGTTTAATCAGTCGGACTTTCATTCACTAAAAGAGAGAAATCAAACTATTGGGAATTTGAGCTCGTGATAATAATAATCAAACAGGAAAAGATGATAACTTTACTATTATTAGCAAGTGAATCCAATTTGTTTTACTCTGACTTTTTCTGCGTTATGTTCTTCAAAAATGATTTATTCTGTTGAATTTTTAATTATTGTTTTTTTTTAATTTTTTAATTTTTGAAAAATAAAAAAAAATATAAACAGAGAAAAAATAAAAATTTGTTTTGAGGGAATTGGGGAAAAGAAAAAATAATATATATATATATATATAAAAATATTAAAAATTTACATTGAGAAGAGTGATGTTTATACTGTATATGGTTTATGTATGTATGAATGTATGAAATGTGATGATAAATGATAATGAGTATAAATTTTTTTAAAAAAATATAAAAAAATAAATTATGCTTTTAATGTATGTGCAAAGATTTTTTTTTATGTATATAAATAATATATTTTCAAATAAAATAAAATAAACAATGTTCCAAATCTATAAATCTTTTTGTTCTTCTTTTCAAAAATAAGAAGATTTTAATTTGCTATAATAACTCTTTGGTCTATTTGTTGAATAACGGGTGCAGTGTTAGTGGTAGAAGAAAGTGGTGAATGAGTAGATAATGATAAAGGTGTAGATGAGGATGTGGAAGATGTTGATAACGATTTTGTAATGGTGGTAGAATGATTAATTGATATTTGCGATGCTGATGCTTGTGATGTTGGTGACGGAGAAGAAAGTGATGATGATCCATAAGTTGAAGTTATTTGACGAATCATATTATGATCCAAAGAACTACTACGTCTCATTCTTCCACCTCCAATACGACTATTATTATTGCTTATACATTTTTGGTGATGCTGTTGATTATTACCTGGATTATTGGAACTGGAAGAATTTTTTGATTGATTACTACTATTGTTGTTATTATTTTTGTTGTAATTGATATTGTTGTTGTTGTTGTTAGTTGATGAATCTTTGCGATGATTATGGTGATGTCTTTTATGATTATGATGATGATTGTTGTGATTTAATGATGATTTTTTACGAGTAGAACTATTTCTGCTTACATCACCACCACACCCACTATTATTATCAGCCATGCTACCATCAGCTACATTATCAACGACATCTATTACACCACAATTGCATCCTTCACTACTAACATCAATAACATTATTATTATTATTATTGATATCATCAGATGAAGATATTAATAATGAATGAGTACTATAAGATCTACCAGATAAACTACGTTTCAGTCTAACACCGTTAGCATTAGTACGACGATTCTTAAAGGAAGAGGACGATTGCATCATTTTTTGTAGCTTTTCTTGAATATCATCTGGAATTATTAATAAACCTGCAGCTAAACTAACACGACGTTGACCAGTAGATGTTGGAATAGTAATTGATATTGCTGGGGGAGATGGTGGTAACATTGATGTTGAAGAATATGATGATGTGGATGAGGAATTGGTAAGAGTTGCAGGATTTTTTGATGTTTCATTTGAAATTTTTTCAGAGTTGTTGTTGTTGATAATATTTATCAATGGAATATTATCAGGTTTTGGTTTTTTATTACTTTTGTTAGATAGAATTTCTTTTGCGACTGATCTTGATGTTGAATTTGTTGGATTTGAAGTATTATTGACAATCTTACTTGTATTGTTGTTATTAATAACATTACTTAAACTATTATTACTATTACTATTAATATTACTATTACTATTGCTATTGCTATTGCTATTATTGATTTCATCCCAATAGACACGATTCTGAGCCAAAATAACAAGAAATACTGTTGCCTGATTTAAAAACAAAGCGAATGCTTCGAAATAAGGCTTGACAACAAAATCACCAAATCCTAAACTAATTTGGGGCTGTTGAGCTTGTTCTCTATCCATATTTGGGGAGACAGGCAGATGTTTTTGCTTTTCCAAGTCTCCTTGTTTGAAGAATTCCTCAACAACACAATCTGACCAATGTTTTGAAATGTCCCACGGTCTCACTGTGTTACTTAGGTCTGCTGCATGAAGTAATACTTTTAAGAAAATCTCTCGTTGTTCTTGATCTAATATTAGAAATGAGGAGGAGGAGGAGGATGGGGAGGAAGAATGGATTGTTGATATAGGAGAAGATTCGGGAGATGAAGCTATTGATGAATTTGATGAATAACAACAAGAATCGATACTGTTGTTATCATCATTATCATCATCCATTTCCAATTCCAATTCTGTTTCTTCCTCATTATCAGAAGAACATGACGATGAAGAAGAAAATGAATCAGATGATGGTGATAAACAATAATTTTTTTTTGTAGAGTGCTTTGTGGATGTTGATTTTTTGGTAGTTTTTTTTGATGACAATGATGATGATGACTTTGTTGATTTAATAATTTTGTGCAAAGATTCCAATAAAGTAAAATGATGCATCATATCAGTAGCCAAAATCATTTTCTCTATTAACGATCTCAAGAATGAATCGATTTCTTTTTGATCATTACCCAGAAACTCGATATTACAACTGTGCAAATTGCGAAACAATTTATGTTTAGTCAAAAGTTCCATTGTCAACGCACAAGAATAATTCTCAAGCACAGATTGATTATTATATTTGATTGCCAATGGTGTTTTTGCATTAACTTGGTAAACATTATTCAAACCAGGATGACCAATATCATGACACAAACCAGCTATCATCAAACAAATTGAATCCAATGGTGTCAAGTATTTTGCAGCACCCAAGTCTGTTAGCATGTAATATAGCACAGCTACAACGTCCACAGCGTGATAGAACGAGTGGTATTCAGTGTCGTGATAACCTTTCTCAACGTCAATAATAAAATCCAACATTTCTGAATTGCGTATTTGTAAACATTCACTCAAATCCAACTTCACCATCATACCCAACACTATTCCATATAACTCTGGTATTGACCAATCCCATACATTAAAATGCATTCCCAGCGAAGTTAACTTGTTATCTTTAAAACTTAACATTGTCTGGAAAAACAGGAATAGTAATGGATGAAAAAAGTCGGACGAGGAAACAAGAGTAAAGGAAAAAAAGGAATGTGAATTAGAAATATGTTTAGAGAATAAAAATATATTTAATGTACTCATTGGAAGAACACTTGAAAAAAAAAACTTACTTTTTCACATATTACTAATTTTTCAAAAGGTAATGAATTATGTTTTAACACAAGCATTATGTCTATTTTAATATGTCGTCTATATGTACTATCTATTTGTATATATACTTACTTTCTAAATATTTTCTCGGTATTTTTATAAAAAAATAAAAATATTTTTCGTGAAAATAAATTGTGAACAAAAAAAAAAAACGTTGTTTTTTCAATTATTTATAATAAATTGTTAGAAAAAGATTTTTTTTTTCTTTGTTGTTGTAGACAAAAACAAATTATTTAAACATATTTAAATATATTGGATGGATATATGAATAACCTTACACAACATTTAACGTGGTTTTAAAATTTTTTATTTACAATATAAATAATTAATATAATTAATATAAATAAATAAAATAAAATAAAAAATAAAAAAAATATAATCAATTTAAAATTTGATGTATGGTGTAGATTGCATATTGCATTTTTATATTTTTTTATCCGTTAATATTTCTTTAGTTTTTTGTATTCCTTTAAGGTTTACGAGAAATTGTTGAATTGATGAGAATAATTTCTAAAGGTTTTTTTTTTTTTTTGTAAAATCTTAATAAATATATGACAATAATAATATGATTGTTATAAATGGAAATATGATATCAGATAATAAGTATAATGATGATGAGAAAATTTATTTATTTGGGTGAACAAGTAATAAAAGAACATGAGGCGGTGCTAATATTAAAAAAATGTTTTTAAATGATGGTTATTTGATTAGCGGATTATTTTAGGTTGTTTTTTTAGATAAATGGAAAAATGTAAATTTTTCTAGGAAAGAAAAATTATTATTATAAAAATAATTGCACAAATAAAAATACAAGCTCTTTTTGTAACACAAACTTTGAAGGAAGAAGAAATATTACGTATTGGAGCTAGAACAAAGAAAATAAAATTACAAAAATTTTAAGTTTAGATTTGTAGATTCTGATTGATTAAAAGGAACACAAATAATCTCATTCATAATTTATTCATACAATTTTCTTGTATTGGAATGAAACCCTTAAACTTGAACTTATTAAAATTAAAAAAATTGAAAAAATCTCCATTTTTTTACTATTACTATTTTAATTAACAAATAATAATAATCTAAAAATATATTCTAATTAACGCTCATTCGATTCAAAAAACTGTTACTAAGTTCAAGCTCTAAAATAGTTTACCTCGGACTAACCGAATTAAATCAGGGTTACGATGATGACTCTTTCTTTATCTGTTATTGTTACTCTATCTCATCACGCACACGCACATACAACACACACACAACAAATACACAAATATCCTTCCCTCCTCCCGTCATATTCTTTACATAGTAATTGTATTTATTATATTGTACAAACTTTTTTTGGTATAACGCAACTAAATAAATAAAAATCATTTAGAAAAAAAAAAAATCAAAAAACTTTTTGAAAACTCAAGTGTAACGAAAAATACTGCTATATAATGAGCGATTGCTATCTAACCTTTTTAAAAAACGTGTGCTATAGTGTAACAACATTGCATTTTTATTTTTTATTGTGTGGGAAATTTATCAATCTTTTTTTTTCTACATGGAGGATAATTATAGAAATAACTGATAATTTAATTAACATAATTAACGCCGACATCAAATGATCACCAGCATTATCATCCATCATCATCATTATATGTGTGTGTGCGTGCGTGCAATAAAAATAATGTACTATATTGTTATTTTTGACTTGTTTGCAAACTTGATTTTATTCAATGTGTAATGATAATATGGGGCATCCAAAAGCCACAAAAATATTTTTATTTTTATTGTTGCAATTATTTTCTACATTTATTATTATTATTATGATTTCATGACTTGTTGGTAAAATATCCTCTGGCTTGGTAAAGAATTTCTATTGGTCAATAGGGGTAAATCGGTTCTTAATGAACATATCATCCACAATAAACTTCAACGAGACCCCTAAAAGTTATCAAGACAAAAACACTTTGAGGGAACATTTAGTACATTGTTTGCACGCTGTTGACTAATTTTTTCTTTCAGCATTCTCTTATGCTTGCTCCTATTTATATTAGGACTATATCGATATAATAATAGTGGAATGTGTGCTTTAGATACGTTTATTTGAATAATTTGGTTTAACAATTAATTATTCGCCAATTTCCGCCGGTAAGGATATAAGTGGTTGGGTTAATCAACACAAATTTCTCCCGACCATGAAATACGTATTAGTATGATTTCATGTGGCACTCTTTTAGTATTACTATATATTACAAATGAATTTTCTTATGTTTTCAATAAGTTGGACCAGTTCAAGGATATTTTTTTTGCAAAAAAGGTTATTTTGATATGATATCAACAGTAAAAAGGTCAATGTGGGCTCTTTTTTGAATCGGCTGCTATGTTTGCTTGGGTCGGTGAGAGCTCGTAAACGGAACCCAGCCATTGGTCAACGACAAGAAAAATCATCATATTTGGTGAAACTATTCTTCATATAAATAAACTCCCATATTGTATTAAATTGTTTCATCTTTCAATGGATGCTTCTCTACCTCTTGACTGACACATCCTATAAAGTCACCATAAAACATCCTTCATAGTGTAAAAGAAACTTATAAGGCACCAACATCTTTTTCCACCAACAAAAAATGGCAAAGAAAATATATTTTTACGCATTAAAATTGAAATGGTTAGAATCGGATTTCTTTTGAATGGGCCTGTTGTATACAACAAAGGTTTATATAATCTAATACAAAAGTTGATCTGATTACATGCATGTATGTATATATGTCTATGAATCTATAAGAAAAGGGGGAAATGAAAAATAATTATTTATTATGAAGATTCATTCATTGATTGACCGATCCTAAAATAATAGTTCTTATTGTTATGAATTGAATTTTTTATGCGATTAAAATAAATTTGATGACACTGTTGTCATGAAAATGAAATCTACGTGAATTTGATGTGAAATTCAAATTAGCCAATCAGATTTTCATATCTAAACACCCCACCCCAAAATTTTTAATTATAAAAATTTCGATCACATATTATTAAATATACATATATATTTAAATTAATATCATTATTTAGAAAATGTTCTAGTAAAGATTACTATTAGTAATTATTGAATAATGAATGTGTAGTAGTCAACTAAATTGTAATAAATAATTCAATATTATAAAATAAAACCAATTATTATTTTCTTTAAATGGGTGATTCAAAAGTCAAGAAAGCGACATCTAAGTCTTTATAAAAAATCTTGCAACTTGAAAGATTATTATTATAAGAACCCGAGGAATAGAAATCATTATTATTAATTGGAAAGTCAAATAATAGCAATTAAATTATTGATATCTCCGCTGAAGATAACAGTTATTATGGAATCATACACAATTGGTGGTGCTTATGTTTCTGCGATGACAGATGGATAACCGCTGCTACAGATCTTGGCTTAAATTGTGGGTAAATTATTGGAATTTTTAATATTTGAATAAGTTTTCTTTTTTATATTTTATTTATATGATTACTAATTAGGTAGTAAATCTGATTTATGCCACGGATGATGAATATACATTATAAATAACAAGAGATATTGTTGGTTGGTCAAAAAGTCTGTAAATAATGATAAAATTTAATTCATTAAGAAAATACCAAGAATAATTGATTACAAATATACTCGTAGATCTTTTTTTAAATACATCGGAATTAGATGATGGTATTGTAGGTGACAAATTTAAGAAAGCAAATTGGCGTGAGAAATGTTTGTTATTGCTGGGTATTGTAAATAGTAGTCGGTTCAAAGATTTATATGGAACTACACTGGTAACTGTTACAAAAATATCATATCCCCCCCAATAAAGTAATAATAAAGATAATTAATGCTTTTTCTCAATTATGTTCGATGATAGATTTTTAGAATCTGCTAGCAATGGTGCTCATTTTATAGAATTTTGTGCAGTGCATGGTATACTACTAGTATTCCTTCAGACGTCACAAGGATCTACGGCCGATTGAAAAAAATTGTATCGTGCGTCAAATTTAAGTGAAGTGATTATTGGGTATGGTGTTTATGGAAGAGCTTTTAGCCCACGATTACTTTGGATGTGGCTAGTAAGTCATAATAAAAAAAAAAATTTTTTTTTTTTGGAAATAAAAAAACTATTTATTACTTTAATGATTATAGCTGGTTATTATAATTAAGAATGCTTGAATATTTGTTATAAAAATGAACAAACAGCAAGTGTTTTTACCCCAATTAAATCATGATGCTATCACAAATGATGATCAGGTAGGTTTGATCTATTTACGTATGCTATAATAGAAGAACCAGTTGTGAAATATGAAGGAGGTCACCCTTACTTTTCATTAGCACGTCTATGTATAGAGTTATAAAGTGATAAACCCACCTGATCCTAAGTTCACTTGGTGCAGCATTAAATGCTTCAATTGAAAATTTTTATTGTAAACTCTTATCAAAAGATTAGTTAGATTTATTATTGCATTACAAAAATAAATATTTCAAAAAATTAATGATCGTGTGACTTTTTTAAAAAAAGTAAAGGTAGATCATCTGAAAAAAAAACTTTTTTCGTGAATAATGTCGTGTGTAAACTTTTCAAAAAAAATTTCTTTACTAAATTGTAATAAATTAACAACATTATTATTATTGAAACCAAACGCAATAGCACTAACACGTTTATTATCATCAAAATCGTCAATAATACTGCGAAAGAAAAATCATACTTATTTGACTCAATATAAGTTTAATAATAATGTGGTCAATTTACGCCAATTCTCCAATAGTTGCATTAGGAAAGATGAAGCAACCGTTAATTCAATAAAGGTGAAAGCAAATACTGATCCAAATGTTTCTACGAAAGAAACATATGAAAGCATAAAAGAAAAAATAATTAAAGATATAATGTTGGATAATGATGCTATAAAATTAATGACAAGTGAAAAAAATCCAGAGTTAAAAAATGCCGAAGCTTGGAATCAATTGATAATTGAATGTGCTGATAAAGGAAGAACTAAAATATCAATCAGATTATTTGATGAAGTAAAATTTTAATTATTTATGACAATAATAATAATAAATCAATTAATGTTAATGTTAATATTAATTAAAAATTTTTTCTAGATGAAAAAACTTTTAATACTTCCAACTCAAGAAGCATATACAGCAATTTTAAAAAGTCTATCATTATTTCACTTTTCATCAACAACAGTTTTGCAAGCAACATCAATTATCAATCAAATCATTCAATCAAGTCAAACAAGGCCGGAGATTACACTAGAGATTGGGCATGCAAATTATTTATTAGAAATTTCTCAACGTGTAAAAAAATTTAATTTCGCACTGGAAACTTATGATAATTTTATTAGGAGTGGCAAGTTGAAACCAAATGCTGATACTTGCTTGCAAATCTTGAAAACATGTTCAGCAAATTGTACAAGGCAACCAAAGAAAGCTTATGAAATGGCAACAGATGTTTGGAACAAGTTTGTTAAAAATGATCAGCAGCAGGGCAAGGAAAATGCTAATAATTCAATGATGGTTGATAATGAATTGATTAATCATTTAATTACTGTTTTTAAATTTACTGATCACACACAAGAAGCTTTTGATATTGTTGATGAGTTTTATGGAATTGGTAAATCTGCCATAATAAATTCTTCAGAATCAACAAAGGATGATTCATTGAAATTACCAATTACAAATGATATAATGTATAGTATTTTTAGTTTATGTTTTAAAACAAAACAATTAGGTTTAGGAATAAAATATTATAACCAAATTATGACAAAATATCCAGATTTTTCACTTGACATCAACAATTATAATAGTTTAATTTCACTTTATAATTTAAATTATCAGTTTAACCAAACTCTTGGAACATACCATGATCAATTTAAAAAATTTAATCTTATTCAAAACAATAACACATTTGAATCATTGATTTTTGCATGTCAAAATCTTCGAGATCTGAACACAGCAAAAGAAATTCTTGAGAATGCTGTTGAGAATCAAATGATTTTGAAATCAACTAGCCTAACAAAAATATTGAGACTGGTGTTGGAACAAGCTAGAACTACAGACAATTATGATGATGTTTGTTGGCTATTGGAAAAAGTGGATAAAACAGGAGACATTGATTTTAATAAAGAAAAGAAGGGAATTATTTTGATTAATGATATGAATGATAAACAACTTCTACATGGTCTTTCATCAGCTTATGAAATTGCATTGCAGGAAGTTAAAGACTTATCCAAGGAGAAAAGAGCTCAATGGGCAGAAGATAAAAAGTTCTTTGATCATAAGGCTGACAGGTTGAATGAATCCATATCAAAATCTTTTTCACGACAACAAAATAATATCTATATAGATAATTTGAGGATAAAAAAAACATACCAAGGAAGACAGAACACTCAAAATGATAAGAGCTGGTATGATGATCCTGATGAAAATATATCAAAACAATTTCCAAATTTAAATCATAGATATAACAGTAATAATAAAAATAACCCTCTCTCAACTGGAAATAATAAATCTTTTAATCCATTGCTACAACAACAACAACAACAGCAGCAGCAGCAACAACAACAAAAATCACCATCACCACAATATCAAAAACCATATTATGGTAAAGGATATTATTCTCCAAAATCATCATCATATATGGGAAATAGTGCACCAATTTATTATAATCTGGATGAAGGTTTTAGTCATCCACCACCACAATATCAAAAATCATACTATAGTGAAGGATATTATTCTGCACCAATGTATTATAATCCCAATGAAAGTTTCAGTCATTCATCACCACAATATCAAAAACCATATTATGGTGAAGGATTTTATTCTTCAAGATCATCATCATCATATATGAGAATGCATTATAATACACATGAAGGTTTTAGACATCCACCACCACCTTCTTCACCTTCTGAATTGTCATCATCTCCAATATCTGATTATCCACCATCAAGAATACCTAGACAACCATATGGTAGCTTTAGGAGAAAGTATAATAGAAGACCAAGTGGATATTATAGACCACCACGTATTAATAGAAACTCTGAATATCATGGACCAACTCATAATAATAATTGATCATTGCTCTAAATTTTTTTTTGTATCTATTCTTAAAAAATGGGTTTAAAACTTTCTCCATTCATGTTGGCAAAAATAAAAATAATTATTGATGATGAATTTTTTGTAGCAATTTTTTTCTCTTACACTTATTTCTCCTAATTTTTAATTCAAGTAAAGATTATTACCATTGAAAATAAATAATATCTTATTAATGGTTGATGTATATCTGTCTTCAACAAACATATATTATTAACATTTTCTTCAAAACATTATTCACCACATTGTTGATGAGAATGTTAATAACAGAAGAAGGCATGGATAAAGAAAACAATTTAATACCTAAATAAATAAATCTAAAAAATAATGTTAATATGTGAATCTAAATTCGTTGGATGAGAAACTATAAATATAACAGATTTAATTTATTAATAATTGTAACTTTTTGAAGTTTACAGGTTGAAGAAGATTTGTAAAATAAGCAGCATTTGAATGAACAGTTGCTGTAATTGTTGAAGGATTAAAGGGTCTTCGATCTGTTTCCTTCAAATATTAGTTACACCTTTATTTTCTTTTGCTGCCAGTCTTTTTTCAGGATCAGCATCTGTGTGTTTATAATCATCAATATCAAATTTGGTTAGCACCACACGTTTCCCGTACTGAATTACAAAAACTTTTAGTATTTTTATTATGTTAATCAATACGTACATATTTAACTAGTGATGATGGTGGCCGGCCGGAACTAGCCCATAGTTTAGTCATTTAGGCAATTTTGGTTTAGGAATAATTTCTGGCGGAAATTGGCGAAATTTAATACTAATACTAATACTAATACTGTTTTATTAAACAAAAAAAAAATTTATATACAATAATAAATGCGAATATAAAACGAAAGAGACTGGTTCACATGCGATTGGACAGCACCATTTTGTTGTCCTAATTTCTGTGTGTGAAACTATTTCGTTGCTAAAATAATTTCGGCCGCTGTTTAACCATATTTAGCAAAGCTAAGGTAATTGATGACAAATATGCCAATATTTTAGATTTAGCTTATAATAATAATAATAAGGTATGTATGTATGTTTTCGAAAGTTTTATTCTTCAAAATTATTAATACTGAATTATATTTTTATTTTATTTAAAAAAAATAATAAACCTACATTTCTGGATTTACCAATTACACGAGACCATATCCTTAATTTTTTATTTCTTTAAAATAACCAGATGGTATGTATTAAACAAAATAAAATTTATTAAAATATCTAAAACATCATATTAAATAAATTTATTTTTTATTTCTTTATAATAACCAGTGTGTAAGTGTTGTACTATAAGTTAACTTTTACAATCCAAAATAAACTTTATTAAAATATCATCTGATTAAATAAATTTATTTTTATTTTGCTATCATGATCAGATGGCAAGTATTATAATATAAATTAACTTTTACAACACAAAATAAATTTTTATTAAAATATCATCTAATTTTTTTTTTCTTTATAATTGCCCAGATTGTAAGTATTATACAATATATTAACTTTTACAACACTAAATAATTTTATTAACATCTAATTGTTTTTTATTTCTTTATAATAACCAGTTGGTAAGTATTATATTTTAAATTAACTTTTACAACACAAAATAAAATTTATTAAAACATCATCTAATTAAATAATTTTATTTTTTATTTCTTTATAATAACCCAGTGTGTAAGCATTATACCATAAATTAACTTTTACAACACAAAATAAATTTCATTAATTAAATAAATTTATTTTTATCCTCTCACATAAAACAGGGTGTAAGTACTATACTATGTTAACTTTTACAACATAAAATAAATTTTATTAAAACATCATCTAATTAAATGAAATTATTTTTTATTTCTTTATAATGACCCAGTGTGTAAGTATTATACCATAAATTAACTTTTACAACACAAAATAAAATTTATTAAAACATCATCTAATTTTTTCTATTTCTTTATAATAACCAGTTGGTAAGTATTAACTAATTTTTACAACACAAAATAAAATTTATTAAAACATCATCTAAAATAAATTTACTTCTTGTTATAATAACCAGTTGGTAAGCATTATATTATAAATTAACTTTTACAACACAAAATAAATTTTAAATGAATTTATTTTTTATTTCTTTATAATAATCAGAGCGTAAGTATTATTATACTATAAATTAATTTTACAACATAAAATAATTTTATAAAACATCAATCTAATTGAATAACTTTCTTTATAACAACCAGTGTGTAAGTATCATATTGTAAATTAACTTTTACAACATAAACAGTTTTTTATTAAAACATCATCTAAATAAAATTATTTTTTATTTCTTTATAATTACCAGATTGTAAGTATTATGCTGTAAATTAACTTTTACAATGCAAAATAAATTTTATTAAGCATCATCTAATTAAATAATTTTATTTTTTATTAATCAGAGAGTAAGTATTATAAATTAATTTTTACAACACAATAAATTTTATTAAAACATCATCTAATTAAATAATTTTAATTTTATTTGTTATCATGACTAGATGGTAAATATTATACTATAAGTTAACTTTTACAACACAAACATAAAATTTATTAAAACATCATCTAATTAAATAATTCTGTTTTTTATTTTATAATGACCAGACAGTAAGCATTATCTATAAATTAACTTTACAAAGCAAAATAATTTTATTAAAAAACATCATCTAATTAAACAATTTATATTTTATTTTGTTATCACGACCAGTTTGTAAGTATTATACCATAAATTAACTTTTACAACACAAAATAAATTTTATTAAAAATATTATCTAATTAAATAAATTTATTTTTTTATTTATAATAACCAGTGTGTAGGTATTATTTTATAAATTAACTTTACATCACAAAATAAATCTTATTAAAACATATTTATTTTTCATTTCTTTATATAATCAAGGGTGTAAGTATAAATTAGCTTTTATAATACAAAATAAATTTTGTCAAAACATCATCTAATCAAATAAGTTTATTTTTTATTTCTTTATAATAACCAGTGTGTAAGTATTATACTATAAATTAAAGTAAATTTTATTAAAACATTATCTAATTAAATAAGTTTTTATTTTTATTTCTTTATAATAACTAGGGGGCAAGTATTATACTAAAATCAATGTTTACAACTTTATTAAAACATCATCTAATACTAATTAAATAAATTTGATTTTTATTTCTTATAATAACCAGTGTGTAAGTATTATATTATAAGTTAACTTTTATGATACAAAATAATTTATTAAAACATCATCTAATTAAATAATTTATTTTTATTAATCAGAGAGTAAGTATTATACCATATATTAACTTTTACATCACAAAATAAATTTTATCTAAATTAAATAAATTTATTTTTTTATTTCTTTATAATCATCAGAGAGTAAGTGTTATATTAAAAATTAACTTTTACAATGCAAAACAATTTTATTAAAACATCTAATTAAATAAATTCATTTTTTATTTCTTTATAATAACCAGAGAGTAAGTATAAATTAACTTTTACAATGCAAAATAATTTATTAAAACATCATATTAAATAAATTTAATTTTTATTTCTTTATAATAACCAGATTGTAAGTATTATACTGAAATTAACTTTTACAATACAAAATAATTTTATTAAAACATTATTTAATTAAATAATTTATTTTTTATTAATCAGAGAGTAAGTATTATACCATAAATTAACTTTTACAACATAAAATAAATTTTATTAAAACATCATCTAATGAGTAAATTCATTTTTTTATTTCTTTATAATAACCAGAGAGCAAGTATTATACTATAAATTAACTTTTATAATACAAAATGATTTTGTAAAATATCATCTAATTAAATAAATTTAATTTTTATTTCTTTATAATTACCAGATGGTAAGCATTATACTATAAATTAAATTTTACAACACAAAATAAACTTTATTAAAACATCATCTAATTAAATAAATTTATTTTTTATTTTATAATGACCAGATGGTAAGCATTATTCTATAAATTAACTTTTACAACAAAATAAATTTTATTAAAACATCACCTAATTAAATAAACTTGTTTTTTATTTCTTTATATAACTAGGGTGTAAGTATTATACAATAAATTTTTTCAACAATAATTTTTATTATAATTAAATAATTTTATTTTTTTATTTCTTTATAATAACCAGGTGGTAAGCATTATGTTGTAAGTTAATAGTAATAATTTTTATTAAAATATAAATCTAATTAAATAATTTTATTTTTTATTTTATTTTTTTTTATAATGATCAGTTGGTAAGTATTATATATTACAACACAAAATAAAATATCATCTAATTAAATAAATTTATTTTTTTATTTCTTTATAATAACCAGAAAGTAAGTATTAAACTATAAATTAGTTTTTACAACACAAAATGAATTTTATTAACATCATCTAATTAAATAAATTTATTTTTTATTTCTTTATAACCAGAGAGTAAGTATTATACAATAAATTAACTATTACAACACAATAATTTTTATTATAATTAAATAAATCTATTTTTTATTTCTTTATAATAACCAGTTGGTAAGTATTATACTATAATTTAATTTTTACAGCACAATAAATTTTATAAATTGAATAATTTTTTTTTTATTTCTTTATAATAACCAGAGAGTAAGTATTAAACTATAAATTAATTTTTACAACACAAAATAAACTTTATTAAACATCGTTTAATTTAATAAATTTATTTTTTATTTATAGATTGTAAGTATTATATTATAAATTAACTTTACAACACAAAATAAAATATCATCTAATTAAATAAATTTTTTTTTATCTCTTTATAATAACCAGAGAGTAAGTATTAAACTATATATAAATTAGTTTTTTACAACACAAAATAAACTTTATCAAAACGTCATCTAATTAAATAAATTTATTTTTTATTTCTTTATAATCATCAGAGAGTAAGTATTATACTATAAATTAACTTTCACAACCCAAAATAAATTTTATTAACATCATCTAATTAAATAAAATTTTTTTATTTCTTTATAATAACCAGAGAGTAAGTATTAAACTATAAATTAACTTTTACAATGCAAAATAATTTTATTAAAACATCATCTAATTAAATAAATTTATTTTTTATTTCTTTATGATAACTAGAGAGTAAGTATTATACTATAAATTAACTTTTATAATACAAAACAAATCTTATTAAAGCATTATCTGATCAAATAAATATTTTTCTTTATAATAACCAGTGTGTAAGTATACTATAAATTAACTTACAACACAAAATAAATTTATTAAGCATCATCTAATTAAGTAAATTTATTTTTTATTTCTTTACAATAACCAGCTGGTAAGTGTTATACTATAAATTACAATACTAAATTTATAAAAAATCATCTAATTAATTTTTATTCCTTTATAATAACCAGAGAGTAAGTATTATACTATAAATTTACTTTTACAAAATGAATTTTATTAAAACATCATCTAATTAAATAAATTTATTTCTTTATAATAACCAGAGAGTAAGTATTATACTATAAATTTACAACACAAAATAATTTTTATCAACTAATTTAATAAATTTATTTTTTATTTCTTTATAATAACTAGGGTGTAAGAAGACTACCAATAATACATATATAGATCATACTAAATACAAAAAATTTTATGAGCTCTACACATTTTTTTTATGTATTGCAGCACACATACATGTTAAGTGCCAGATCGGATAACAATCAGAGAATTTTATATATGACAAATAGGGGCTAATTTACATATATATAATAAATATAAAATATTTTGTCACACAAGGAAATTGAGTTGCCCATCGATCTTTTTTATACAATGTGAATTTTTATTTGCCAAAAAAACAAACAATATAATATAAAATAAAAATCAATTTGCTTTAATTGATGCAGGTGAAATTATTAATTCAACTGATTTTCAGATAATTCTTTATTAAGCTTTGAGAGTTCTATTCCAGCCTCAACAGTCACCAACTTCACCCCTTCCTCTGAATCATCACTAGCAACAACACTTAATATATGGTCCATTTTATACATACTTATCATGAATCCATCAGTGCATCCAATATCTGACGGCGAGTGTCCTGATCCAATAATCTTTATTTTTCTATTATATTCATTTGCCAACTCTATAATCTATAATATTTAATTAAAATTAATATAGTTAACTCAATATGATAGTTAATTGTTAATTAGTTATAATTAGGTTAGTTAATAAGTAAAATGAAGTAAATTAATGAATTATTTATTTATATAAATACTTTAACAATATCTTGTTCCGACTCAGGTTCAAAATATAATTCAGGTTGACAATTTATAGTTTTTGCCCAATTTCGGATATTTTAATTTGGTGGATGTCATGAGAACTCAAAATGGAGGATATTTTTGGTGGATAAACTACAGG